GTTTAGGAAGAGGAATAATGATTCCCTTCTCCCATTCCGTTGAAAATACCCTCATTTGCATAATAATGTTAAATGTAAGTAGTAAATATGACAGAAACAAATGTTCACAACAAATAATCATTTCACCTTTAATGTTATCTGGACCAGCTGCTTTACCTTGTCTTTTACGACAGCTTCAATCTCATGTCACTGATCAACATCATGTCAACATCGTCACACAACTGTTCATCGTGGTTGTCCACGTCTATGGGTTGACTGAGGTTTAACACATTCCTAAAGTAGTCAGTACACTCACCACCCATGATGTTTGCAGCAGACGTACCAGAATTAGTGACTTAACCAATTTCTCCGAGTACGCTTTACTGTTATTACCATCACAGCTAAGTAGAGTTCATTTATTGATATTTCCTCGTAGTCAGTTGTCTCCTTTTTATTTTATAGTACTAGCACATTGAGATACCAAGCCGCAGTTAAACATGAATACCCCACTGAGACACAGTGTACTGACTCAGAGTCGACCAGTCCTTCTTTTATCCCCTTTATACCGAGCGCCAGGGTAACAACAAGTCCAAACCTTTTTTAACGAACCCAGTAGTTGAATTATCGCTGATTCGTATGTATGAAGAAATCCAAGGAAGCAGCCTCAGCCCCAGATTTCGAGAAGTCCAAAAATGTCATGATCAAAACCAGAGTAAAAATTGAAAAATCAGATACTTTGTTTCTGATACAGTTTATATTCCAACATAAGGAAGAGAAATTCAATGGTTTGGTGTTTTATGTTTGTATGATGTGTATATAGATATTGATAAGGTCTCCTCCCGATTTAGTAATGCGCAGATGGTTCAGGATAATGGTTATGGTTGTCACCTGGTATTCAGGAAAAAGGTGGGCATGGGCCTGCTTGAATACTGTAATTCAAGAACAAGGTGAACGTTAAGATCGACTGGTCAGTTGACCAACTTCGTGCTCTGATGTCAACCTCGACCTGGCAGAACCGTCTTAAGACCTTCCCGAATTGTGAGAGTCTCAATGTTTTGGCAAAGTAATCCATAAACAATGACGATTATAAAGTCGCGGCTACGCCGTTGTTATGCTATTAATATTTCAGCTACAATGTATCGAATCTGGTTCCGGCAGACCAGTGGTTGACAGCATGGACAGAGATTCAACGCTTCAGGGAATCATTCGTAACCCTGGTCGGTACTAGTTATACAAACGGGAATATAAAACTTACATGTAGTTAGTGTCTGAACTTATTACTATGAGACTTTCAATGTCATATCAAAATGTTGGGGGATCACATTCTTACATCAGGCCAAAGACACAGAATAAGGGTACAAATTCCGAATCCGAACCTTGTTCTTTGCCGTATTAAAACTCGATAAGGATTGTCGCCCGTAACCCCTGCTTCACATATTGCCTTGGTGAGGGCAACCTAACCATACATTAATGATGTTTTAAGACCTCTAGCCAGAGGTTACTACTCTTTTAAAATTAGGATGCAGGGGTTATGGGCGGACGTTTTCTAAAGCTTGGCACAGACACCCCCGCCCACATAGGTAATTAATGTGTAAGCCTTTGATCACAATATGCGTTAGTCGTCTTAGGTATTAAAAAATGTGGACAATTCAACATGTTAAGTCATCAACACAAAACAATCCAAGACTGACTGCAGTATTTTCGGTTGGCATTTTGTTGGGGAAGAAAACGATTGTGTTGACTTTCTTGAACATCGTGGAGTAGGAAGTAATTGGTGAAGCGCATGCATGACTTTGGGTCGCCTGTATATAACTCTTATCCGAACACTATGTATTTATTTAGATATATTGATGCAGATGTGTTTGGACATTATTTGTCATGTCGCATGTCTTCTTATGAAAGATGAGATTCCAAAAGAGCAAAGGAAAAATAAACGTGTTATAAACACTGACATTTGTGAGAAATTTGCCCAGAAACAAACACATTGGTTACTCAGTTACAGGTGATTTAGAATAATAAGTGAATAAGTGGATGGGTAGATGGGTGAATGAGTGTAATAGATAATATGAATTGTCAATGCGTGAGAATAACCAGTCTAGATTACCTGGCGAAACAGATTCCATTTGGTGTGAAGGGCAAAAATCTGTGAAGACCCCTGAAAATCAGTGATGACACCAGGTGTTCGCGAAAGTGTAAGCATGTCCTGCCCTACCGGAAGCAGCCACCATTAACACAATTTAGATGAAAAAGTAAGTATTTATTACCTGACATGGCACAGCCAAAGTCAAAGTCAAAGACGTTTATTGTATCAAAGGCCATCGGCCCAAGTTCACATAAATACAGTGGGTGAGAATTTACAGATTGGGAGATACAACAAAAATTATAAAAATAAAACATTCATTTAACAATGGGTGATAATCATGAGGACTTTCTAGGGTAAGGTAATTAAAATTCTGAATTTCCGCTCAACATGTTATTTCGTAGTTCGAGCCCATGTTTTACAAATAAAGACAGTTTAAACATTACATTGGCATCATTCGATGACAAAATAGACACAAACACTATTCTACTCGTCTTAGATAAGAAATATTCTGTTATATATTTAGTACGTAATTCTGCATAATAAGGACATTCAAAGGTAAAATGTATTTTGTCTTCTATAGCAGAGTTACAGAATGGACAAATTCTTTGTATTCTTTCAAGTGATATATTCCGTCCATAATTAATCATAAGTTTTGTCAAGCCAAGTCTGTATTTAATATATACATTTCTTAGGTGACTATTTGTTAAACCTGATAGATATTTTTCTGGCTCTAGTAAAGTCTTAAATGTTCTGTACAAATCATAACGTGAACTGTTTTCCAAGTTGCATTGCCACCCTTGATAGAACATATTTATTGCTTTTTTACGAAAATCATTTAGAAATAAATGTTGATCACCAACAGATTGGTTAAGCCATATTAGATAGATTACCTGCCGAAACAGATTCCATTTGGTGTGAAGGGCAAAAACCTGTGAAGACCACTGAAAATCAGTGATGACACCAGGTGTTCGCGAAAGTGTAAGCATGTCCTGCCCCACCGGAATTTTAATTCGAGGCACGTAAGATATATTTGGGAGGAATGCTCAAAGTGTCGCAGGTCGAAGAAGTTTACCTCTTTGGTGAACCCCAAGAATACAGGGTTGGTGCTGACAAACCCACGATCATCGAATCCAAATACGACTATAGGATGCGACTGCAGAGCGAATCACATCGAATTAGAGTTGGTATATTGCTGTTAGATAGACGATAAACCATATGTCAATGATCGATACAGTCTGTCAAGACAGAGACCGACCACAGACAACTGATCAATGTTTGTCTTGAAATAACAACCTGACCACAAAATACTAACTACAGCAGTTTCATTGTTCCAGCAACGTGAAAGCAGTGAAGCATCTATTGTGTAATAATACACAGTGGAGCGATTGGTAACTTTTGTATGCATGACACACGTCCTTGTACGTCGTATCTCTGTATGTTCATTCATTACATACAAATCGCTTCCAAGCTAAATTGATGTTAGTCACTCAAGCATACCAACTGTATTCTGAAGTTACAACTTCATTCAAAGTTAACTCGACCAACGTCGTATTTTAAATAGCTACATGAACAACCTTGAAGCGAAACACGTGGAATTAATGAATTCACATTGTGCAAAAGATGACACATCACATATAGTTACACACTGATTGTTTCAAGCGGGAGGACAGGTGAATTTTCCTAGGTCTCCATCATCAATTGATGTGTAACACATAGGTTATGGGATTACACACCACATCTATCCTCCTCCATCTGGTGTGTAGCACATCAGTTCAGGGATCACCCCCAGTGTACTCTACCTGATCTGTTACACGTCAGTTGAGGGATCACTCCAAGCTTCTTCAATCTTATGTGTAACACATCAGTTCAGCGATCACTCCAAGCTCCTTCCATCTGGAATGTAACACATCAGTTCAGGGATCACTCCAAGCTTCTTTCATCTGTTGTGTGACAAATCAGTTCAGGGATCACACCAAGCTTTTTTCATCTGTTGTGTAACACATCAGTTTAGGGATCACTTCAAGCTTCTTCTATCTGGTGTGTAACACATCAGTTCAGGGATCACTCAAAGCTTCTTCTATCTGGTTAGTAACACATCAGTTTAGGGATCATTCCAAGGTACTTCCATCTGGTATGTAACACATCAGTTCAGGGATTACTCCAAGCTCCTTCCATCTGGAATGTAACACATCAGTTCAGGGATCACTCCAAGCTTCTTTCATCCGGTGTGTAACACATCAGTTCAGGGATCACTCCAAGCTCCTTCCATCTGGAATGTAACACATCAGTTCAGGGATCACTCCAAGCTTCTTTCATCTGTTGTGTGACAAATCAGTTCAGGGATCACACCAAGCTTTTTTCATCTGTTGTGTAACACATCAGTTTAGGGATCACTTCAAGCTTCTTCTATCTGGTGTGTAACACATCAGTTCAGGGATCACTCAAAGCTTCTTCTATCTGGTGAGTAACACATCAGTTTAGGGATCACTCCAAGCTCCTTCCATCTGGAATGTAACACATCAGTTCAGGGATCACTCCAAGCTTCTTTCATCCGGTGTGTAACACATCAGTTTAGGGATCACTCCAAGCTTTTTTCATCTGTTGTGTAACACATCAGTTCAGGGATCACTCCAAGCTTCTTCCATCTGTTGTGTAACACATCAGTTCAGGGACCACACATAATATGAATAGCCTTCCTTCGCCCATGTGTAACACATCTATTAAAGGTTAATCCAGTTTCCTTCCTCCTTACAGGATTAAACCTGATATTCAACATTTTTCCGCCTGGGATATATAACAAACACCGCACTTGTTCACCCTAGCATAAATCCTACTCGTACATTTAGGACATCACTTCAAATATATGTTACACATAAGGGTTCTTAGTCATCACACTTCACAGGGTCCACAACACTGACCACTGTAAACTGACATCAGCTCAATCTGGTCCTCTCTGTTTACATACATTTCGAAGTTTCATTTGCGACAAAACCATAATACCACCGCATATACACAAGGCCCCGGCTGTGTAGAAGGACGCTGTGTATGTCCCCGTGACGTCGTACAACCAGCCTGGAGAGAACACACACACACACCAGTTAAAGTTCATCCATGAAATCATTCCAATACACTTTCCACTCAAATAGCAAACTACTTGTATAAATATTTCAACAGTCTGAAAGGAAACTATATAGTTAACTAATCAGCGTTTCTCTTTTCAACTCCTAGAATAGTTAGAGTCAACACAATTGCAAATTCCTCTCAGCATAAATATCTTGAATGCATCTATGTTTATTTGTGCTCAAGGTTCTGTTTATTAAAAAAAACATATTCACGATACATTTAGCGAGAGAGAGAGAGAAAGAGAGAGAGAGAGAGTGAGAGAGAGAGAGAGAGAGAGAGAGAGAGAGAGAGAGAGAGAGAGAGAGAGAGCAAAATAACATACATGTAGAAAGCGCACACAGAATTAAATGAGTGTCAAGCGTCTTTGGAACATTTGATCTATATACTTACAAAGAGTTTAACACCCATCTGAGTAATGTAATAAATTTCAAGGTTGAAGATAAGTTTAAGAAATTCGGCATATTTTCACATATAGCGTTCATTACATTATAACATAAATCATCATACATGTTACAATCAATTAAAAAGTGGACCTGAGTCTCTACTGACTTAAAATAAAAAAGGCAAGTTCCATCCTAAAGGGGGACAGGGGGACGACTGTACCTCATTTTTTCAATGTTAATGGGGAGAGTGCCACTGCATAAAAGTGCCAAATATTTTCTGGTGTTTCTATGGATATAATTTGATAAGACATAGGGCTCAGGCGCTAGATCCTTCTTAAGCAATCTGTGGGTCCTCAGCTTATTACCATTAGTGTTATTAGCATCATTCCACAGCTCTGAAAACCACGCAGTTTCATCCACTTGAAATAATTTTTGCATAATGAGAGTGAACTGACCACGTGTCATCGAATGGACATCGATCAAGTCGACGACGTTTAAGTTTCTAGCTAGCTTATAAACTTCCTTTGACCAAGCATGAATGACACGGGGCAATCTTGTTATTTCCATACTGTTGAGGCGGAAGAATAAACGAAATACTTCTATGCGTTGCTTGGTGACACATGATTTCCAACCCATGTCTCACCTGGCGGCAACATTTGACGCATTACGTCTAAGGCCGAGGAAAAAATTACATGCTTTGTTTTGTAGAGTGTTTAACTTTTTATGTTCATACAACCCCCAGATGGAAGCACCATATTGCATAAGAGGCTGAACCAAGGATTCATACAATTTAGTATAAATTGCATAAGTAGAACCACCAGCATCAAAATATTGTTGTACATAAAACACCAAAAGCTCGATTTGCCGATTTAGCCAGTTCATTAATTGTATACTTAAAGTCCATGTGTTCGTTGAGCCACAAACCAATATTTATAATTGTTACTGTACTTCAAAAGAGTTTCACCAATTGAAGAGTTGGTTGTGGAGCAATTTGTATTTGTAGGCCTAAAATGAACAAGCACACATACCTGCTAGCGGGGAACTTATGAAGCCAGACAATCCTTGTAGAAACATCATCAGACCCAGGGCTTTGCCCAGGTTTTCAAGACCCACCACATCTACCAGAGCAACTGTCTTCAACCCCGTCCAAATGCCTGTAATGGAACAATATGTTGAATCCTATGTTACTATTTCATGGAAAAAGAACAACGTCGAACAAGCAAAAGAGTGCCTGAAAGCACGTTCCATGCCATTAGCACACGATGACACGTCAAGTCATGGGGTCATGGTCGCCTCTAATGACATGTGTATGTCCCCAAGGACCAATTCTACCCTGAATCTAGCCCAGAATACACACACGTATGCTTTTATTATACAAAAACATACATGAACTGGCTGCAGTGAGTTGCAATAATATTGCAGTCATTATACTGATCCTTACTGTTATCCGTCTGAATACATTCTGGATTAGTTCCATCCGAATGTGCGTGTATATAAATTACATTGGTACTTGATAAGGCCAAAAAAGTTTATATTACAAGGTATTGATACATACCGATAAAACGGAATGTGAGTTAAGGAAAATGATATTTCGTGACGTTTTAACAACTTACCTGATAAAGGACCAAATATCGCAGCGAATCCCATTAGCAATGGAAATGATCTCAAGAAAGGACACACAATCACACACAGACCGCACAGTATATTAGACCACGCCCATAAAACCCTGATATTGACACAACTGAAATCCCCAATCCAACCGAAGAACAGTCGTCCTGGGACACTGGCAAAACCAATCATTGGCAACAACCACGCCACCTGGTGTTCAGGAACTTGTAAGTCACGTGCTCGCCTTGGAAGATGTGCGAAAGGAACGAAAATGCCAATTGTAGATAGGGCATTGCATAATATGAACAGACAGTACTGGATATTGTGGAGCAGGTGTGTGTATCCCTGGATTGGACTAATCTTGCAGCATACTTTGTCTTTACTTTGTAGTTCAGAAGCACCTGAAAGACACGGATATTTTTAAATAAGTATTGTTTAAATGATACAAACTGAGTTGGTGGTTAGGTAACTGTTGCTGTCTTCCTCTGTTGTTTCATAATGCCATCAACCTATGTTTCATGTTGCTGTATTATTAATAACAACAATAACAAAGGTGACTTCAGCCCTATATTTTCTCTTAATGTGCCATTTCAGTGCTAGATTGTGTACTCCATCAACGTTTTCTTTTATGCTCCAGGTGGTATGTCGCCCATGCTGAAATTCTATCATTGAACGTCTTTGTTTGGTGGCAATTGATGGACCTGCCTCCCCATAAATGGCATCGTCCATCAACAGAAGTTTGGTGATAGTGAGTGAGTGAGTATGGTTTTACGCAGTTTTTAGCAATATTACAGCAATATCACGCCAGGAGACACCAGAAATTGGCTTCACACATTGTACCCACGTCGGGAATCGAACCCGGGTCTTCGGCTTGACGAGCTAACGCTTTAGCCATGATAGATACTGTAAGTATATTTGAAGAGTGATACTCAGTTTTGTCCATTTCAATGTTAAAGAGGTACCTCTAAGGTAGCTTAGGGTACCTTAGAGTCGAGGTCAATAATCAGCAAATCACTGAACTGAATCACGCCTAAATGTGAAATCCGTCTCAACAAACACAGGCAAATACTTACAAATGTCACACGTTAGCAAAAACAAATCCAGATATGCCAGCCTCAAAACTAAATGATATCCCCTCGTACTGTCTATACGATCGTCAGTGCTTTAAGATGCAAATGGACAGCTTAATATGCCCGTTTGTCATGTGGAAAGATAGACTAGAAATTACATATGCAAGTATAATTAACATAAAACTCCCGTTACATGTAACCCATCCCTACCTTCAGGTGCAGGTGATAAGGCTCTCTTTCTTTGTTTCTTGGGACGATACAAATATCCACAAACTGCTGCATTTAATACAACCGCTCCAGAGATGAGAAACATGCCGCTTAAGCCGTAGGCAGTTCTGAGAGCTCGGAACATTGCTGAGAAGGCAATCGTTCCAGCGCCAGATCCCGAGGAACATATACCATTAGCCAGAGCTCGACGTTTCTTCATGTACTGGTTTACTATCACCTTGGATGGTAAGAGCATCAGACCCAGACCAATTCCTAAACGAGATGTAAATTCATGTAACCATTTAAAAGAACCATCAAAATAGGCTCTACGAAACTCCTCATTTTGACATTATTATTATTATTATTTGACATGTTTTATTACAACTTGACCCTCATTGAATCTTATTCTTTGACGCTCACCTACTAAAACTCCATAACTGATATAGAGGTAGTCAATACTTGTTGCAAACGAGCTGATCACAAATCCTGAAGAAGCAATGACAGCTCCACTTATCGTAACAGCACGACAGTCATATTTGTCCGTGAGGATCCCTGCCACTGGGGCTGAGAAAAGAGAGCAATTATTGTAAAATATGTTACCGATACATGTACATGTTAGTCATGAACTTAGCGTCCAATAATAGGGGAAATGCTGACCAAATAACTTGAAACATTCGTGTTTAGAGATGTCACAACAGTAACAACCTGTTACTATGACAAGGCATCTCATTTCCGGAACAAATATCCCAATAATTTTTAGGGCAAGTTTGTTTGTTTGTTTATTTGTTGTTTGTTGTTTGTTGTTGCATCAACCAAGTCAACGAGCCTGACCCAACAATCCCGTTAGTCGCCTCTTACGACAAGCACAGTCGCCTTTTACGGCAAGCATGGGTTGCTGAAGACCTATTCTACCCCGGATTTTCACGGACCCATTAAGGGGAAAGTAACACATAAGAATTCGGAGTGTGTAATTGAAGTTTCCGGGATAATGGTGAGCTTGAAATTTTGATCTTTTCATATCCGACTGTGATATATAATTTGCGTCACAATGAGCGAAGGGACGTCTTGATAGTGACATGCTGTGTAAAATTAAACCTTTAATAATTTCAAGGATACCATTAGTTTATTTTGGAGTCCCACATTTCAGTTATTTTGAATATTTTTGTTTTCGTTATACCAAAGTAAGGCCAATGTCCTACCATATACCGTATCCTATACGTTGTTTAATAGCTACGTATCAAAACAAGAAGTCCTACGTAGAGAAAAGTCCAGGTGTTCAATCACATGACATTGTCATAACACTTACCTACCATACTGAGGAGACCCGTTGGAATTGAGCCAATCCAAGCTGTGTCTCCGCGATTCATGTCGAAGTATTCCAAAAGAAATACGTATATCACACCAAATGATAGATTTATCCCAAAGAACATGGCGTGGCTAAAGAAGGACGCGAAAACAATAACCCATCCCAGTCCCGAATCGGACTCTTCAGAAGTTTGTCCGTTCTTTGACAGCAAATGTTGTGCATGAAGTTCTGTGTCATCCTCTGGCGTGTCTTGCGGCCTTTTAAAGTTTTCTTCTGACATGACTGAAAACAAAATTAAACAACCACTTGCAAATAACACGTACATGACTATCATTTAGATAAAATTGTAAATGGGTCATTTTCACGATAAAAAATGTCACTATTTTTTGTTAAAGATCTTTGAAAAATTTACAATAAACTTGTATATATTTACATGTCACCTCCAAACACTTCATATAATGAAAAGGTCATTTTTAATGATTGTGTCATGATATATGTGCTCTCGGTGCGTTTTAAATGGGTAAAGAAGGCATTTTTGTAAGTATTTTCATTTATGGGATATTTTTGTTGTTAACTTATAAATGAAATTCATTTAGATGTTTCAGTGTGTAACTTGAATCAAATTTATATGATTCCTGAATAGAAATATTATATGACCATGTCCTTAATGTTGGTGACTTACCTGTAACACTAACTACAACTTTGGAATAATCAATTATCGTCTGTACAATGCAAACTGTTCTTTTGCAAACAATGCAAACTACATTTGCAGGTAACTATGGCAATGACAAATGCAGAGAAAGTTTCGACAGAATCGCGACAAAGATCCCGAACGTAGATAACTTTACCTGGGTGGTGAGGAGAGAACATGTCCTAAAGGAAACTGGGAAAAGAGATCTACTTAAACATACACGAATAGGGGCAGTTTAAGGAAAAAGAATCACCACCTCCACCAGGTTACGTCCTGTTGGGCAGTTATTCCAAACCCAAGTGATCGCAGTTCCTGCTCACATAAAGTAATGTGAAAACTCTAACTTTACTGTTTCTGCTTCTGTTTTCACTACGGACTCACTGCAAACTTGTATCCATGACATCGTTTGTGATTCGTCATCTCCAACATGTATGTTTTGAAAGTGTGAGAAATGTTCATAAAAACGGACAGCGAAAGTGGAAGGTGAATATGAGTAGGCTAGTGATGGAGATGTATGGACTGGTGATGAGGGGCTATTGATGGAGAGATAAAGGCTGGCAACGAGGCGCTAGTGATTGAGCAAAGGTGAAGGATAAGACGAGGCTAGTGATGGAGAGATTGTGAAGGCTGAAGATGAGGAGGCTGGTGATGAATGATAAACGCTGAAGATGAGATGGCTAGTGATGGAGAGAAGATGTAGGCTGGCGTTAATAGGGTAATCATGGAGAGATAATGGCAGCACACGAGGGGGCATGTGAAGGAGAGAAGGTGAAGGCTTAAGGTCAGGCGGCTGGTGATGGAGAGATAATGGCAGAACATGAGGGGGCTAGTGAAGGAGAGAAGGTGAAGGCTTAAGGTCAGGCGGCTGGTGATGGAGAGATAATGGCAGAACATGAGGGGGCTAGTGAAGGAGAGAATGTGAAGACATAAGGTCAGGCGGCTGGTGATGGAGAGATAATGGCAGAACATGAGGGGGCTAGTGAAGGAGAGAAGGTGAAGGCTTAAGGTCATGGGGCTGGTGATGGAGAAATAATGGCAGAGCATGAGGGGGCTAGTGAAGGAGAGACGATGAGGCTAGTGATGTAGAGAAGGTGAAGGCTGAAAATTAGGAGGGTCGTAATGTTGTGTAGGATGTAGCGTAAATGGTGGAGAGAAAGTTGGAGAATCGGATCAATCTCAATACTAGCTTTGCAGCCGTCCCTGAACCAAGTAGATGTTTAGCCAAATATGACATTGTTGATTTCGACTGAATATCGTAACTCGATACGATTTTTTAAGATGAATCTGAAATTTATGTCAAATGAATGCATTGGGTTGGGAAGAAAGTAAGGAATGACTTTACTGGCCAAACACACTTAAAAGACAAAAGCTGGAACGACAATGACATTGCGAGGTAGACAAAAAGTTTAGTCTGTAATCAAAAGCCATGTTCCGAATTGTCCATTCTACAAGATGATCAAGTATTCAATGCAACAAGTGTACCACAACGTTTTAACTACATATTTTCAATATTGCTTAACATTAGAAGTTAGTACTCAAAAACATGTTTACCATTCTCTTAATGTCTTACATGTAACATAATATTGTTTTAATTATGACTGTCGTCCATCACATCAATCTAGAAAATGTATTGTCACATGGAAATAGAGCTACACCTTGAGGTACCCCTGTTTATTAAACCTTTGTTTACATATGACAGTGAACTAAGCAGACTTTTTTATAAACAATGCAAACTTTATTTCACATTGTCAGTACTGTACCATCTTAATGGAGAGCCACTGAATCATATTTTTTTACCTCCAATTTCAAAACACAGTAGGTTTATCTCCATTTTACCATGACGGCAACAGCATTTGCAAGGCATGACGGCCCGGGGACAAAGGACGCTATCACATCAAAGAAATGTGACAGATGTGGCTCGGACACAGTGGAGCGTGTATGTTTTGCTTAAGTGTGTGTGTTCTGAAATGAATTTCATCAAGTTTGATCAGCTTTTGTAACCAAGTTCTCGGCTGTGCTGTGACTTCAGTGATGTTGGGACATTTTTGAGTTGCCTTTCGTATGACAATTTCTAAATGCGTATTACGCTGCTTCTAGCAATATCACTGTGTGTGACAATTTATTTCATTAGTGTCGCCGAAATACTACTTTAAATCAAAGAACAACGAAGAATACATACATTTGCCTTATCGGCGAGGAACAACGTCATTGTGTGATATGGCAATTGGAAAGAATGTGCTTGGAACCACCCTCTTTACGTGCAGAATTGATTGTGTTCAAATTATGATTGCTGATCAAACGTATTTTCATTTTCATTTTAAGGATGTTTTAGGAGAAACATATAAAATGATAAGTGATCTTAGTTCTGAATCATCAGACAAATGTTGTCAGTATCATGAAAAATAAAATATAACGTTAAGAGTGTACCGATCGTATCCCTCTATGAGAAACATCCGGCCACCTGTCGATGTCCAAAATACCCATGATATAGCAAAACATGTTCAGTTGGTTTCTGTGACAAAAGTCTCTCATGCATTGGCAGTGGTAGACACTCTGTCGGATCGTAGTTCAATGTATGGCTTGGGCGACCATGTCAACTTATGCAAATATCTATGTCTTATCTAAATGTTTAACTTTATATAACCCTACAGGACCTTTTAAGCGATCTTAATTTAAGTATATATGCATAAACAACGACGTTTGAAAAGTGTAAATGTTTGTAACATACCTATATAAATGTGTCTATCGGTAAAGCTGCCCCTCTGAAGTGTTGACGCGTCTAATGTCACAAAGATATCCCACTGCTTCACAATGGTGACCTCTCCTATTGCTATTGAGTTAAGGAGGTTAATAGTTCACGAACTGATCCCCGATGACTGTATATTTTCATTTAGTCACCCTGTGCATTTATTCAACACCAGGGCCTAATGTTTAACAATAAGAAATACTTTATCAAACACTTATATTAGTATTATTGAGAGTTTAATGTTATAATCAGCAGGTATTATGTTCATTTCAGATAGTGTGTTAATGGAATTGCGTCACAAAACTTACAGCATACATCTTTTGTACTTGTAAGTATACATGGACAATGCCATTTCACAGGTGTTGAGGGCTAGTCTAACCATTTGTGCTTCTGTCAGTATTCTAATATTAATTATGTTAACTAATGTGGAGGGAAAGCCTGCAGGATAACATCCACGCAGTACTACTAGATCTACGATTACTGCAGATACAACCAACCACTACTTATGCCACGACCACCACCACCACTACCACCACAATTACTACTGCGACTAAAACTACTATGATTTTACTACTGCCACTACTACTACTTCACCACTTCTCCCGCGTGTACTACAACTATTTCTATCACTACTACTATCATCCTTACTACTGCTACTGCTGCTGCTGCTACTACTACTACTACTACTGTTACTACTACAATCCTCACTACTGATACTACTACTACAACTAACATCATCACTTCTTGGCTGACTTGTTCAAACGGGTATCTTCAGTGGAGTCGTCGGTGGAATTTATGTCGAAATCTATCGACGACCTTGGTGACAAAATGGCGTCGTCAGAACAACGCCTCCGCGACGAAATCGACAAGCTAAGAGAAAAGCTACTGATCTCAGAGATGTATTCCCGTAAATCCAACTTACTTATCTACGGTGTACCTAATACAGTCACAGATGTTGACAAGGCCTGTAGAAACATTTTCAAGGATAAATTACACCTGGATTCACATGCGGTGGACAACATGTTGTTTGTGAATATTCACAGACTCCCTCGATTCACACCGAACGAAGAACCTAATCCTATCATCATTAAATTCGTCCGCATGGAGGACAGAGATCTCATTTTGAAGACTACCTATTCCGTGGGGAGGGAATTGGCGAAAGACCGGCTCAGTGTTCGTACAGACCTGCCTGTCGACTTAAAAAAACTTCGTGGCCGCCTGGTACGAAAAGCCGCTGAATTACGTAAACAACAACTACATGCAAAGGTTCGCGAAAAGGGGATCGTTGTTACCCTGTATTACAGAAAGGATGCCAGGGACGCATGGAAAACTCTCAAAGAGGACGAGGAACCAAGAATCTAACCTGGCTAAAGTCAATGTATGTGATGATGAGTGACCCATTTTCTCGATCAATGTTTTATTTGTTTCTTTTAAAAACAAATCTAGTGTAAACTTTATTTGAGTGCAGATCAACATGTTAGGGTTTCTTGATCTCGCTCTCGGACATGTGAAGATCCACTGTCATGTTGTTTCACAGTGTTACCGGAGACGCTTCTTGAACTTTTTACATTGGTATTTCGCATATCACATGACCAAGGTGTGTACGTCTGTCACGTGACCATTC